GTTTTGTGTCGTCTGCACACTTGCTTAATATCCCTTCCAGCCCTGCGTCCAAGTCATTTATGAAGGTGTGGAAGAGCAGTGGGCCTCAGATGGAGCCCTGTGGAACCCCCCTAGTGACTCCCTGTTCATGTGCTTCTGAGCAAAAAGGAAGGAAAGATACAGCTGGGTCAGGGGAGGAGAAATAAATGACAAGATTTCTCAGGTTTCTAAGAGAACTTCAGAATTGCCAGTAGATTGGTTTACATCAGCTGTGCTCTGCAGATATAACCATGCACCTCCCACTGCATCGAGAATGTTTTCCTGCAGGAACTGTTAGAAACCATGGGACATGAGCACTTCTGTAGCACTTTTCTAGACAATGGAGGGTCTCAGTTCTGAAAGTTTCAGGGACCAAGTTTGGCTTGTCTGCTTTCTCCAGTAAATGTCTCAGAAATGTCAGTGCAGCAGTATCCAAATAACTCAACAGAAGCAATTCTAAGCACATTCCAGTCCTTCCTGCAGGTTGGATCCCCTCAGCTGCAATTGTGGGAGGAGCTGAATCTGTCACTCAGCACAGGAGCTGCAGAGAGGCAGCAGTTCCTCTTAAGACATCAAGAAACTGGTCTCACCCTGTAGCAGCCCATACCCTCGGCACCAGAAATGCTGCACAGGCAGAGGGGGCCCCAAACCAGCCGTGTTTCTCGTCTGCACCTTGCTTGTGTCTCGCCAGTGAAGGCCCAGGTTCCTCCAGAAGTGCGAGACGATGATGCCAAAGGACAAGGGGGAACACTTTCGGGTTAGGCACCTCAAAGTTTAATTCTGCTGTTACTAAGGGTTATTTGATTGACAGACTCTGGAAGGGAAGCAGAGGGCAAAAAGTGTCTGATGATGCAGCAAAGATGGCAAGGGGACACCTGAACAACGCCAGGGTCTGGCTGTGGGGAAGGGCCGTGGTCACCGTGGAGCCTGGAGGGCTGCCGGGAAAGGGGATGGGGTCACAGCCACGGGACTGGCACCGCGGCGGCCCTGGGGCTGAGGGCGCCTGTGGGAAACCAAATCCCACCTGGCACACCGGCTGTGCTGCAGCCTCGGGATCGGGAAGCGTATGGGATGGTACAGCTGATGGGTGGTAGGAGCATACAGAACATGCCAGTTTTCTGTGGTTTTCATAAATCCAGGGCATTTCCGTGCATCCTTGTGATGTCCCCTATGGCACAGTGCAGTAAGGGGCAGGGATGGGGAGAGGTGAAACCTGAAAGCCTTTCATGGAAAAACATCCTGTTCTTTCCAGCCAGATCAATGGCTTGCCTTCATGAACTTGGATCCAGCCTACCACCTGGCAGGGGCCACTTCTACAGAAACTACTTTTGGAAATGCAGACATTTTGCTGGTGTTTATTTACTGTCCGTTTTCAAGAGCCTCAAACCCATGAACAGGTAGTTAGCAAAGGGGAGACTGCTGCACATGTGCAGTCCTGTTCCTACATCATGAAATTATGTGGAAACAGGAGAGAATTCTTTCTTGTAAACACACTTGTTTTGGGATACCATCCTTCTCTTCACCACTCCCACGGGTCCATCAGAGATAGGGCGAGGGATGTGAGAGGACCAGAGGACTAAGGTACACTTTTCCATATGAGGACAGCAGATGCTGCTGTCACACCACAGCAAATCCTTGGGTAGACACGGGTGTCATCTTACTGAACACACAAATGCTGGGGATGCTGCCTTCACAGTTACAGTGACAAGGCGAAAATGCTTGCAAACAGCTAATTATTGCCTTCTGTGTTCCCTTGACAGGTTTCTAAGGATCTGGGCCCATCCTGATGTGTGGCTGAGTAGGAGCCTGTGAGTGACATCCCTCCACCACAGGAGACAGACAGAGCTGTTCCCAAACACCCCTTGTCATTTGCCACCCCAGCCTGAGGCTTCCAAGGTTGAAACTGAGCAAGACCCTCAGTAACTCAGTTCCAGTGCTGAGGGCGTGGATGTGTGCCAGAGCTTGGAAAACATTCCTCTGGTGTTTTCTGGGCACACAACTACTGCAGACTGTGGGATGTCACCTAATAACCTCTGGAGGCAGATCTCCTTGTCAACAATATTTGTGATTATTGTCCTGTTGGTTACTCATAATAGAAATGTTTATAGATCATCAATACATTGGCCCATGCAGACAATTCACTGCACTTTGTCATTTTAAAGGCAGGTGCCATTCTCCATCTCTTTTTTCAAGGCACGAAAGTGCTACCCAAACAAACACAGTGCAAATATTTCGTAAGGGAACCAGAAAACTTCAGCTTTATTTGAAACATTTTTGTTTGCAGGTGCTTTTTTCAAAAATTCAAAAAAAATAACTAAGCTCTTCCTATTTTTCCTTGCAGGTGTTTTATTGAACAATTCAAAAAAACAACTAAACTAAGCTCCTAAGTTCCTAAGGCTTCAAAATGACAGAAAACTGGAAGGTATTTGACATCCTGGAGAAACAATTCCGGCATGTTTTCTTCCAGTCTCAGTCATTGTACTGCCTGCCTGGTGGAGTGTGACAGGTCTGTCAGGCTCTTGGTCAATACCAGAGCACAGGTCTCTCTGATGACTTTGGCAAAGATCTCTGGAAAAAGAGAGGGAGAGAGAAAACCTTTGGTTGCTTTCATACAACAGGCACATCTGACAGAGGACACTCAGCAAATACAGCTACTTGATTCAAAGGGCACTTGCAAAGCCTTTAGAATTTCAGCAACTGCCTCATCAGTGTGAGCCTTTTTACAGCCTTCCTACCGCACATTGTGCTTATTTTCTTTTGCCACTCTGCCAACAGATCATGGCACTGCATCCCTTCATCCTCAGTAGCTCACAAAGCCTTGTGTTTTATGGAAAATGGCACTGCAAAGGCCACATGGGATGGCAGGTTACAGGCTGAACTGCACCCCCTCTACAGCTTTTACAGATGCACCACTGCTTGCACCACAGGAGAACACAACAGTTTTAACAACAAAACTGTACAATAACAAGAGGAGCAGCAATTCTAGGAGTTGCTACTGGCAAATACTGGTCACGTGCCCAGCAAGGACTCCAAAATTCAAGTGCTGCTCAGGAGCCAAGTTCCTTTAGCAAGTGCTGCTCCAACAGGGCAGGTTGATGCTGCACATCTTGCCTGATTCTGCTGTGCATGGGATAGTCCTCTCCCCTCTTTCACTACCAACTTTTCCCAGTGGGAATGGCCCCTATTCACTGCACACATGCTCCCCAGCTTCTCTACCTTGGCATAGCTGAGGACTATTTTACACAGAGCACAGCACCACCTGATCCAGCCCAAAAACGCTTCCTATCCTTCCCACTCCAAAAGCCACAACATGACTAAAGCAGCTGCTCTTTTTCACTGAAAGGGAAGAGCGAACTCCAGAACTAAAGATCTTCCATCACTACTGCAGCTGGAATATCCTTTCCCCAACTAAACGCTGGCCCCAACGCCTCCATGCTTTCAGAGCACCTCAGCATTTTGTCTGCAGAACAGCAGTTTCCTCCTGTTGTCAGGACACAAACCTCAGCACCAGTCCAAGCCAACAGCTCAAATTCCAGCCACAGGCAAGCAGGAATAGAATACAGTAGCCCATGACTGATGCACGAGCCTGCCCTGTTGGGTACACCGACAACTTGGAGACACGCTCTTGGAAGCACTCACTCTAGCAAAGACCTGGCCAAAATACTGGCAGTGCCCTGTTGAGAAAATCTTAGATGATGCAGGACATATACTGCATCAGGCCTGCTTGCACAATCCGGCCTGCGTGCTGGATGGCAGGGACCTGTGTTCTCCAGCAGCAGATGTGTGTCCTTGAGCAGCAGATATCAGAAAGCTGCATAGAGGAAAACAAGGAAGGATGTTGTTATCCAGGGTGTGAGAAACCAGAAGATGGGGGGACCTGGAAATGTGCCTTGGCTAGTAGAGCCAATGAAGTTATAGATATAGTGTGTGAAAGTAAATGTAACCAATAGAAAGTTAGAATAGAGCGTGTGAACCCTGTAGGACCCTTGATAATGTGTGTATTTTTGGAATAAAGTTAGAGCATTGCCTGTACCTCTATGAGGATGTGTCTCTGACTCTCGAGCTCGTTTTTTGCATCTTCTCCTTTTAGTGCCCTGGTGTGCAAACTGGCAGGGAAGCTTCAGCACATCTACCAGAAGCACTGCAAATGCTACACTGGGGTAAGCCAGAAATTCCTGGCCACCGAGGATGCCTGAAATGCCTCCTGCCTCAGCCTGCCTGCTGTCTGAGTGCAGGCAGGACAGGAGACCTGAAATAGTGTTGTCCTTCAGGTGTCCCCTTGACACCTTTGCTGTGTCAGAGATGCTGCTTCCCTTCTGGAGTTTGTCAGTGAAATACCCTCAGTAACAGCGTGGTTAGACCTCTGGTGGTTTCTGCTGGAAGTGTTCCCCCTTGTCCTTTGGCATTGTTGTCTAGTACTTCTGGAGTTGTAATTCCATGCTTAGTCCATTTTGAAGCTGACAGATGAAACTTTTGGTGAATATGCTGAATGATCCTCCTTTGCAGTCTTTAGGCTGTGGCCCCTGACTGTTTTCTGTGCATAGGCGTTCTGGGTAATGGCTCTGTAAGCTCCAGTAAAAAATCCATGGCTTCACTTTTTGCTTGTTTCAGCATTGTCATTGTCATCCTTGGTTACTTCTGTTTGGCCTCAATGATCAACATCTGTTTGATAATACAGTCCTCCAGTGCTGAAGCCTGGAGAGGGAGGAGGAAGAAACAGTGAGGTTGCAACCCTGGCTGTGCGCCCTGTGTGCTGCATGTACAGCTCAGGGGTGGTGACACCTGAAGGACAACACTATTTCAGGTCTCCTGTCCTGCCTGCACTCAGACAGCAGGCAGGCTGAGGCAGGAGGCTGTATTAAGCAGTTCCTACATTTCATTTGCACTCACCTCAGGTGCTGGTGCACTTGGAGGGTCACTCACGTCACCGTCACTCAAGGCGGTCTCCATCTCCAAGCCAGAGGACCTCTCTGAGTAAACGGTCTCCCAGTCTACGGAGCTCTCTGAGTCACTGGTCTCCGAGCTGCTGGATGGAGATGATGCCACACTCCTGAGCTGGGACTGTAGGGCACTGCAAAGCCACCAGGAGATGAAATTACAAAGGAGCATGGGTGAAGATTATTTACTTATTATATTGACATGGCAGTATTTAGAAATAAAACTGAAACCCTCTGTTTTGGCAACGAGAGGAGAGGGGAGAAGACTCTGCCATACTCAAAACATAAAGCACTGGAATGAAAAAACCTCTGGAAATAATAAATCTTTCAACTTCAACCCAGTCAGACAAATATGTAAGCAGGACATCACTGCTACATTCTGAAGCTGCATTTGGCCAACTCAACTTTAAAAACCCCATCTAAACTGGTCAGGGCTTTTCTGAAAGCCTCAGTCCTTTCAACTGGAAAAAAATTTCCAATAAAGGCTACCAGATTTCAGGATGGTTTTTTGGTTTTCTATTCTTCCCCTTAAGTTTTCCCTTCTCCATCTGTGTTCCTTGATCAAGACAAAATGTGGGTCAGTGCTCTCCTAGAGGAAAAGTTCTGGGCTTCCCCACCTTTCTTCCTCTAATGCTCACACAGGGCACTTTAGTCTGTCTTGAATATTGCTTCTGACTAACAATACATGACAGAAACCAGGAACCCTTTCCCATCTCCCCCTCCCATAAAAAGGAGGTTTGTTTTTCTCCTTATCTGGTCTAGCTAGAAGTTTGGTAAAAAACCTGTCTCTTGGAGAAACAAGTGCAGAAGGAACCTTTTCAACAACCTGTTTTGGTCACAAAAAGAAAGAGAAGAGGGGAAGGACAGGTTAGCTCAAGGAACTCAGAACAATGCAACAAGGTGAGATGATTCCAAGGCACGTCTGTGTGCCTGATGTGTCCAACATCCCAAACTGACTTGGTTGTCATCACTCTCCTCACTGTCACTGAGCTGCAGGTCGTCCAGGAGCACGCTGAAAGACAACCAGAACATAAATATCAGCCAAGGCAGACACATTCTCAAGCACCAAACTCTGAACAAGATTTGGGTTGGGCTTGCCAAAACAAAACAACTTCCCCCATCCCTTCTGAACATTTGACACATTCAGGCTGCAAAGCCCTGTCACTGCCTGAATGGGTGGTAAAATGGTAACACACAGCCAGGCATTTCATTGGGCTTTCCAGCTGACCTGGGGATATTGGGCAATGGAGGTCAGGAACAAGGGCAGCAAAGACCAAGCTCAGTGAGGGAATGCTGCTCACAAAAGGCTCCCTGGCCCAGCCTGCAGGGGGAAGGAGTCTGATCCTTGCACAGGAAGAGACTCCCATGCTCTCAGCCTGCACTGCTCCCCAAGGGACAGAAAGCACCCTCTGTGCACCAGAAGCTGTGCATGTTCACGCTCTCTGTGCTCAAGGGCTACCAGTATTTCTCCTGTCACAGGGCTCCTTGTTTTCCTGCTGAAGTCTCCTGACACACATACATTCCTGTTCCTTCTGGAAACTAGCTGGGGCCTGACTCATGAACCCAGAGAATTCCTCCAGTGTCCTTCCAAAACTGGGGGAAAAAGCCTGGGAACCAGGACAGGAGTTTTACTTAATCTGCTCACAACTCTCTTCATTCCAACCTCATTTCCAACTACAGGCTCTCTGTGAGAAATTTTTCTCATGGGCATAGAAGAAAAATAAGACACCAACCCCTCATCACAGCACAGTTCACAGCAAGAAAACAAATAGGAATGATCACCAATGAACCCCATCGTCCTGGAGAAAGGAGGAGAACACTGGTGTTCCTGAGGCCTGTTAGGAAAACTACACAAATCTTCACACTCTTTCATGTCAAATTATGAACCAAGCAAATGAGATTTACAGCTCTGTGGGTCACCTCTAAACACCCTAAGCAGTTTGGTTTTATGTTTACATGACAATAGAGGAGCAAAATCCTGGAATAAAAATGTGATTCCCTTACATAAACACTATCCCCATTACCTACACAAATCCTTTTACACTCCTACCAAAGCAGTTGACACAGATGGGGGCATTTTCAGGGAAATAGGTCCGTGCCACTGCCAAAGCTGGCCACGGTCTCACAACCAACAGCAATTCCACAAACCACAAGTGGTTCATCTGCTCTTATCCACAGACCAACTTCACATTTTCTATCCTAGCCATTCACTTAGCAGATTGTGCCCCTCCCTGCCTTTACAATGAGAATATGAACACAGTTCTGGTTCACAGGCAAACTGCAGCATGCCTGGATTATACATTTCTAACTGGAGCTTTCAGGAAAACCCCACAGAGCTGAAGCCAGTTTTCAACAGCACCCTCAGGCAGCCAGAAACCAAAGCCAGTGGCTACAGGAGAAACTAGGAACCCTTTCTGATTTCTCCCTCATATAAAAAAGGTTTGTTTTTCTCCTAATTTGGTCTATCTAGTAGTTTGGGAACAAACCTGTATCTTGGAGGAGCAAGTGGAGAAGGTGGCCTTTCAACAATCTGTTTTGTTCACAAAAACAAAGAGAGGGGGAGGAAAGGTTAGCTTAAGGAACTCATAGCAATGCAAGAAGTTGAGATGATACAACATCCCAAACTGACCTGGTTGTCATCACTCTCCTCACTGTCACTGAGCTGCAGGTCGTCTACGAGCACGCTGAAAGACAACCAGAACATAAATATCAGCCTAGGTAGACATATTCTCAAGCACCAGACAGTGAACAACTTGGGTCGTGCTTGCTAAAACGAATTAACCTCCCCTATCCCTTCTGAATATTTAGCACGTTCAGGCTGCAAAGCCCTGTCACTGCCTGAATGGGTGGTAAAATGGTAACACACAGCCAGGCATTTCATTGGGCTTCCCAGCTGACCTGGGGATATTGGGCAATGGAGGTCAGGAACAAGGGCTGCCATCTAGAGGCAGCAAAGACCAAGCTCAGGGAGGGAATGCTGCTCACAAAAGGCTCCCTGGCCCAGCCCGCAGGGGGGAAGGAGTCTGATCCTTGCACAGGAAGAGACTCCCATGCTCTCAGCCTGCACTGCTCCCCAAGGCTACGACAGTAATACTTGGGGGATTTTCTTCAGTTTTGGTTTGGTTATATTATAGACCATATAACCATTCCATGGTTTACTGGACTTGGCATTGCTGGATTAATGGTTGGATTTGAGGATCTTAAAGGTCTTTTCTATCCTAAACCTTTCTGTGAGTCCACCGGGAAATAATAATGTTTTTATTAATGAAAATTCCCTGCACTCGAGTTTTCTAAGAAAAATCAGACTGATAAAACCTGAAGTTTCAGAATCCTCAAGGAGCACCAGTTTTTGTGCCTTCCAGGTTCTTTTAAGAAACTGCCCAGTAGAGCTGGGAACAGAATCTGGTTACTTACGATGTTCTGGGCTGAGAGCTCGGCAATGTTCCTGAAGCTGTGCCAGACTGCTCTGCACATCAAACAGGAATAGGTTGGATTAAGTTGCCTCACTTCTAGCCTCTTTCACCCTATGATCTCTGAGCAGCAGATTGGAAAGTCACTTTCTTCCGGAACATGCTTGCCACTGAGATTATTCATCACTCCATGGGCTTTCCCAGTGGGGTTTCCGAAGGGGGTTTCCTAATGAAATACTGCTTGTGCCCTGCTGGACTGCTACCTTCATTTCTACGTAATGAATGTTTACAGTCTCTAAGGCCATTTCTAAAGTCATCCCTGTTCAACAAAGCAGAGGAAATCACCCTTCTTAATCCATGTAAACATCTGATGTTCTCCACAACATTTCACACACCACACACAAAATGACCTGTCAATACATAACTGGGTGTTTGCTTTGGATTTCTGCTTACCCTGATTCTGAGCTGCAGAGCCATCTGTGTCCTAGAAAGAAAGACAAAGTGCATGCTGAGAATGAAATAAATCAGCTCTCTCAATAGCACTTTACCAATGCTTGGTTTCCCAGGTGTTACCTACTTTGACTAAACACTTTGACTGGCTTGTCGGAGTCTGACTGGGAAGTGTTCCAGAGTCCAAGCTGGCCTGACATACGTTAGCATGCACAGAAATGATACGTGCTACTGCCACCAAAAATGTATTACTGGCACATTAGGGGTAGGTACATCTTTGAAGAAGTATTTTAAAACTTTACAAGAAGTGCCAAGCAGCTTAACAGAATCAGCAAATATCTTTTCTTGACAATAAAGTTAATATGGCTTTTGTACATCAACATCTACCTCCTCTGGCTCAAAAGTCTTGCAACCCTAAAAAGACAAAACTTGCTAAAAACAACTGAAAAGAGGAAAGATCATTTTGCCACCATCTCAGCCCACTCCAAAACACTCAGCAGCACAATCGCAGTTGCTTCCCACCTCGAGATCCACTGGGCTAAAAAGCAGGTGAAAGCACATGCAAGAGGCAGAAGGCTCTCTTGGAATTTACCAAGAGCCCTGGCAAAAAGCAGCTGGTTTACCGTTGTTGAGTAAGGCAATTGGGAAGGCTCTGCTTTTGGAGGCGACTGCAGAGGTGACACGGGACGTGAAAATGGAAAGATCATTTCCTGGAAAACAATTGAGAGAAGCAGCTCTCAGGATATTTGCTGAGAGACACAGAGGAAATTTCACGTTTCCCCGAGGTGCCTACAAAAATATCGATATGCATTCCTAACAGGCAAGAACACAGACTGTCTGGTGAAACACAAAGGGATGCCAGACTTCCAGCTGGAGTCCTTGGGCTGCAACCCCAGCCAGCACACGGCATTTTCACACCGTGCGCAGGGTGACACAGACTCAGACCTAGACACTGGGACCCCGTGTGCTGCTCACAGAGCAAAGATGGAGACCTCACCTACGAGTGCACGCACTGCATAGGATTCCCCAGGAACCGGGAGTGGTTCTCCCACCCTTCACTGTGACTGGGGCTCCCCAGCGAATGAAGTCGTCTGGATGAGGGTAATGGATTAACGGGGTAACTGGGGATGTATCTTCTTTATCACTGTTCTTTGCTGGTATAGGAATGATTAGATGTATTACCTTGTTCAGTCTGGTTGTTGCACAAATGATGTGTGTGCTAAGCTTACTGCCATATTAAATGCAGTATTTTGGTTTGGTGTTGCCTTAATATTGCTAATCAAGTAGGACCCTTCCCTCTACTGGTGTTTGTGTCCTCTCTGTCACCGATTAATTGGCCCAACATGCTGGCAGCATGGACACAAGGCAGTGTGTCCAGTGCCTTGGGAGGAAGGAAGGTCAGGAAAGGGAACTCCTGACTTGAGGATGGAGCAGCTCTGTCTGTCTCACAAGCCTTGTCAGTGTGGCTCTTGAACTGCACTGGACTGTATTACACTCACACCCTGAGAGCAAGGTTGATCTGACAACTCCAGCTGTATCTGAGGCTGACTTTGATCTTTACTGCTCCTCAGCACAGCCCACAACACACTTGCAGCAACAGCAACACCCACTGAGTGAGCAGAAGTGGAGCGCTGTGTTTTTCCCCACCCCTTACCTTAATGCACGCAAAATAGAAGGAAACACAGAGCTCTGTTCTTTAAGAGCACCTACCCTCAAAATGTCCTCAATGGATGGCGCATCCGTGGTGTTGGTTTTCTCCAGGAAAGGTTCAAGCTCAGATGATTCTGATGTCTTCGAATTTTTAAGTGGTTGTTCTGTCACTGAGCTCTGAAATGTCTTGGTTTGTCTGGAGCTCGGTTCACAACACTTGCTCCTGGTCTGTGACCTGGACTTGAACTTTTTTGGAATCCATATGACCTTCCGCAAATTCTTCCTCATGTACTCCTTGAAATCATTATAATCTCCGAGGACGTTCCTAATGCACCTTGACAGCGCATCTTTGTTATCAGTCTGCAACACAAGAACAGAGAGCTGGAAAGTTCTGGAGCACCCCAAGAGATCCAGCTCAGCAAGAGGCATTCCTCAGGATCTTAATTGAATCACCACGCGTCAGCACAAATGAAGTTAGGCAAGCTGGTCTTGATCCTGACAGTCTCTCCAAAGCAAACGGGACTGCTCTGGCCACTGCCAGTCATTCCAAGCCAAGCTTGCAGGTGCACCTGCAGCCTTCAGGAGCACCAACATCAGATCCACTTTTTTATCACCACAGCTGCAGACAAACAGGCAGCCAAGCTGCTCTTGTTCTCCCTCCTGCTACAGGAGACCAACCCCAAGTCCATCGTGCTCTTGCACAGCCAGCAGAGCTTTAAGCGCATCCTCTGAGGAACTGAAGTTCAGCAGATGGGAAGATGCTGTGTTTGCCTGTACCATGCTCAAGTCTGCTACACCCCATGCAGAAGGCACAGCTCTCCTTCCTCTCCTTCCCCTCCACACCCCACTGCTATTACCTTGTGGGGTTTTGCAAAGATGGGAGCCTTCCCAGGGAACTGGTCTTTCTCCCCTAGAGCCTCCCGTCTCCTCTTCTCTTGTGCCTCAAGACGAAGCAAGTCTCTGTTCTTCTCGGACAAGCTTTCACAAAGAGAAAGAGAAAGGATGATGAACATCTTACACCAGAGTTATCAACCCCTTTATACTCTGTGCAGAACCCATGGTTGTCAGACAATGCCACATGTCCAGCATGACAGTAATTGGGAAATCACAGACTGGTTACAGCTGACAAATCAGTTGGGGCAAGCAATTGCTGTCCCACATAGGAATGAGACACACAAGGGACAGCATGCATCTTTCTTAAAAGGTATTTCTACTCCTGATACCATTCATCAAGAAGGGTGGGAAGGAAAAACTGTCCACCCATTTAATTGTGAAACAAATTGAGAAGCAGTCAACGGGGGTCATAAGCACATGAGCTGGCAGATCCCCTTGCAATGATTGATCTGAGCAACTACCATTCTTGTTCTCCTTCAGACTTCTGCCCCAACTCTCCACCTGAGAGGAAAAGGGAATCCGCTATTTTGAAGGTGTTGCCATTTTCAAAGACTGAACTTTGCCTACTCTATAATCAGGCTTGAAAACTCACTCTCTACTTTAAATGGATATTTGGAAAGGCGCTGACCTGGGACACCACACAGTTCCATTTAAAACAATCCCATAAATTGAATTAGTAAGAAGGCCTCAGGAATTCAGAAAACAGCAGGTCAGATCACCCTGTTCCTCCTCAGCCATATCTGCCAGCACTCAATTCCACCAGCCCCACAGCAAAACACCAGGAAAGCTGTGTCACACGCCCTGCACAGTGACTTCATGGAAAACCAGACCCTTTAAACTACACCTCATCAGTGAAATACTACGGCAAAAGAAGGGAATCTCCTGCTCTAATATTTATGGACATTGGGGAAGGAACAGCATGCAGGCATAATGGATGCAGGTATCTCTCTCCTGTGTCTCCAGACTACTGTCAACACACAATTTCTAGATTCGTCTTCTCAAGTGCCCCAGTTTGCAAGGTAAGAGCCTTGTCTTCCCCAGCACTGACATTTTCTCAAATACCACACCAATCATCAGCTCCTGCAAGTTTAAACATCCCTAAAGAAGAGGCAGAGCTGCCTCGTCTCATGCTGAGGGGCTGTTCTTTAAAAGAAATAAGTTGTATCGCACTAGATGACATCCTAATTCAGACCAGAAGGGTCTGCTGTCTACTGAAACACCCACTTTTTTAAGAGACGTCTGTACCTTTTTTAATATAAGCTTCCCCACCCCTGTGGAGACACCATTTCTGCCCATCGTTCCCCTGCCCAGGGAGGGTGTTTGTCAATTTGCTCTTCCCGGCTTTTGAAAACCTGGGCTATGCTGTAACTCAGAACACTGCAGAGTTCCCCCAGGCTCCCTGTTGGGAAGCCAGGCAGAAAGCCTCGGAGATCCACAGTCAGCTCAGGCCCCGTGTGGGCGGGACTGCCCCACATACACCAGTGAACCAGGGCTGTGCCGTGCGGGCCAAGGCGGGAAACCTTCCCCACAGGCACGGCCGGCACGGACCGAGGGCACAGACACACAGACACAGAGACACACAGACACAGAGACGGACAGACACAGAGACGCACAGACACAGACAAAGAGACACACAGACACACACAAAGAGACACACAGACACACACAGATACAGACACAGAGACACACAGAGACAGACAGATACAGACACACACACACACAAAAACACACAAACACACAGACACAGAAACACACACACACACAAACACATACACACACACACACACACTCCCTCAGGGAGCATCGCAGGGCTGACACTCGCTGCGATAACTCCGCTCACATGACTCAACAGAGATCTCTCCCCACACTGCCAAAGACAAGATCCACCACTGAGTTCATGGTGGTGGTAAACTTTTCTTCCATGCTTCCTGTCATTATTCCTAGCTTTCTCCACTTCTTTCTGGTTTTCCTTTTTTCTCTCTGCCTCTCTTGGACTTAATCCAGTTGAGTTATTGTGATAAACTGAGAAAATGATTTGGGCTAATTAAAAGAAAATCGTGTAAGGTCAATATGACCTGGAGAGAGAAAAGAAAAACAAATCGTAAAACTTAATTGGGCCCCTGTAAAGAGATAAAACAAGTTACCTCCCTTTTACCTTGTGTAAGACTTATAGTGAAGGAATTTTGTTTAGTTAGATAATAGCACCTTTCTTAAAAATTTAGAACTTTATATCGATAACAAGCAAACATCTGCTGAATGTCTGACTTGACAATATATTATGGATACTTATAGATAATATTCTTGTCTAAGAAAAAACATCTGTTGAATGTATGACTTAATAATGTGTAATGCTTATATATAATGAATATTCATGAATTAGTTGGAAATAAATGTAGAACAACTGTCTTCTTTGGGTGAGACAGGTGTTGGGAGTTGTTGAAACCCCTCCCTGATCACCCAGCGCTGAATTTGCTTTTATCATATAATAAATTCTAATTGGAAATCAAGCGACTCTGGGGTTTCTGTTTATCACAATTAGTGACCCCGACATGATGTTCTCCGAGCCCTGCTGGGTTAATTAGTACTTGAAACGGGGGGGGCCCCCGCTGAATTCAGTGGCCTATTTCGTGTCTAATTTTCCACAGGACTGGAGTAACACATTATATGGTTATATGGTAAAAGCAAGGATTGCTCCCGGATTGCTGCAGCAAAAGGGCCCATAATTCTCGTGCACGAAGACCCAGGGAAGAACAACGGACTGTGAGTATTCCCTGGTTGGGCGGATAAAAGAGGTCAGAGTGAATGAGTGAATGAGACGCAGCTTTGCTGCGAAGCGGTTTCGGTAGCCCTTTTAACTGCGTTTCTGTCTCCGTGCGAACGGAACGGCCAGTGACCGGGCGAAGTGAGAGAATTGGTGATTGGACCTCTGGGGTCGGTGGAAAAAGGACCTTTGTGTCAGTGGGGAGAGTTTAGAAGGGATCCCAGAGAGTCGGTGGAGAGATTCTAGAAGGGACCTCGGCAAACTATGGGGCAAGGATTCAGTAAGAAAGGTAGCCCCAAAATGAAAGGGAGCAAGCAGGCATTGCCCAAGCAGGTATTGCTTGATATTACCCCTGCCAGCCCTTTGGGGGTAATGATATCAAATTGGGAAGATATTGAGAATATTGGTAAGTTAACCAAAGAAAGGCCAATAGAAAAGAGATCAAAAGAAGCGAAATGGGAACTATTAGGTAGCTTACCTCTCTCCCCTATAACCCTTCTTATCTTTTACTAACTCCCTGGGTTGTAGTTCCCACAGCCCCAAGAAATACTCCCCCTCCCTCTCCACAACTTCCCTTGGCTGTAAACCTCAAGGCCCTGTTAAATCAGGGGTATGGAAGTCCCAAAAGAACTAAAGCCCAAAGGAAAAAACAAACAGCCCTAAGAAACATCAGAGCCTTTTTAGTAGATCAAGAAAGCTCTAGTGAAGAAGACAAAAGTTTAAAAACAACGAAAAAAATAGGGAAACTGCTAGAAGACCTCTTGGGAGTAGCTGAACAATTAAACAAATTCTTAGGACTCGATTGGGAATGTAACTCAGCCCTGACTGAGTACTATACTTGCTTGACCCAGAGAACCAAAAAGGCTGTTCCCCATGAGAAAAATGTCAAAAAGGCATTTAAAGATCAGCAAGAAAAAAATAAAACCCCTATTACCTGGTTAGAAAGACTAAAGAAGAATTCACAGCAATATTTAGACATCAGTCCTGATACACCAGCTGGCCTAATATTGTTGAAAGTCCACTTTATAAATTATGCCTGGAGTGATATTAAAAGAGAACTAAAGAAATTAGATGGATGGGAGAAAGGGGAGCTCAAAGACTTACTGAGAGAAGCCCAAAAAGTATATATAAGTGGACCCCAACAAATTGTTTCAAGAGTCCAGGCAGTAAAATGTTTCTATTGTAAAAGAAAAGGTCATCTAAAAAGAAATTGTCTGAAAAGACAGAGAGACTTGAAACTATTTGAATAAAATAAATGAGATTAAAAGTGTCAAGAGCTCTATTTTCCAAGAATAACACACTGTAACCAGGTCTTGACAAAACTAAAATAAAACCTCAAGGTGAAAAATATAAATTCATAGTGAAGACTGAACCTAATCAAAAAGATATAACCAAAGTTCCCCAGAATTATAAAGCCAGTAAAGCTACAATCAAAGTGATTAGAACAAAGAGAAAAATTCACAATACCTCTCGAAAAACAAGTTTAAATTTAGCAGCTTATTTCAAGCACTGGAGAGAACGACTAGACTCCCCTTTTGCACTACCAGCCCACGCAAAACACGCCGGGATCAGCCTAGCAACCATCTGAGCAGTGCCCCAAACCCTGTGATAAACAGACAGATCTCTGTAGGGAGCGGGCTCACACTGCCAGTGCCCCCCGCGCCCACCAATGCCAGACCCCCCTCAGCCCGGCTGCCGGCGGCCTGCCCGTGCTGAGTCATCTCCCCTGCCCTGGCACACGAGCTGGGGGCACCGTGTGCCATCGCGGAGTCGGCGTCCCCTCCCCACACACCCCGGAGGCACCGCGGAGTGAAGGGCCAGCTTTGGCTCTTGGCTGCTTTCTCTCTGTCTTCCCCGAGCGGGAGGAGGGGGGAAGGGGGAAAACTGAAGCGGCGTCCTGCAGAAGTAGGACGAGGGAGTCTGTAACTTTAACTTTGGTGACTTGAGAAAAGTTATTTCTGTAATATATTTTGTCCTTTAGAACAACAAGCACCAAGTCCTAAAAGTATGTATATGTATGCAGCTGAATGTCTTCACCCATACTTGCAGTGAAATTTGGAGAAAGTTTTAAACAGTAATAAAGAGAGAGGAGGAAAGAAAGTGATTGATTTATTCTGTGTTGGAAGCCCTGTTGTAGGGGGTCTGTAGTTGTGTTTGTCAGTGTAGTAGGAGGAAGCGTGTGAGTTTTACTGTTAAAAATTTGATTTTAGAGGAGCTGGTATGTGTTTGCAAGTGATAAAATGGATTATTTTGCTTACCTGTGTCTCAAGTTTGGCACTTTTTAGAAATCCTCACCCAGTAAACAAGCTAACATGAGAAAGGGGGGGGGGGAGGGGGCTGTAGTGAAATAAGAAGGGGAACCACTGCTTTACTCTCGATATGGGTTGGAAATTAACTATTTATAAAAAGTTCATTTCGGCAGACAGACCTGGTAACCAAGCAAAAACACCAAAACTCGACTGGAAGTGGTATGGATGAAAAAGATTTTTGTGCGAAAATGGACAAATACCAGTCTCCAAAAAGTGATGCATTTACAAAATTGGACTGCAATTTTGAATAATACTGTCAGAACACTAGATAGTACCAGTATTTTCAGAGAGAGAAGAGAAAGAACTAACACGAATAGGTGCAAAGAAGCAAGAAGGGGGGCATGGATCTTAGCAGATGGGAGAAAAATAGTTTCTAAACCGATAGCACGAGCAATATTAATGAAATTACATCAAACTACTCACTGGGGAACACGTGCTCTATGTGATCAGTTTTTACAATGTTATGGGTGCACAGGAATTTTCGAAATCGCTAAGCAAGTTACCAGCCACTGCTTGACATGTCAAAAAGTAAATAAAAAGGTTATGAGAAATACCCCTGTAGGGGGATGGGATATTGCATACCGACCCTTTGAGCGAATACAGGTGGATTTCACAGAACTCCCACCTGTGAATAGATGGAAATATCTATTAGTAATAACTGACCATCTAACCCACTGGGTAGAAGCGATACCTACTGGAAGGACTACAACAAATTTTGTAATCAAAGTGTTACTTGAAAATATAATTCCTAGATATGGAATGGTATATAGTATAGATTCAGACAGAAGAACTCATTTCACCTCAAAAATACTTAAAGAAATAGCAATTGCGTTAAGAATCATGTGGAAACACCATACTCCCTGGCACCCCCAAAGCTCAGGGAGGGTCGAGCGAATGAACCAGACTCTGAAGCAAGCCCTAACTAAATAGATGATTGAAACCCAGATGTCATGGGTTAAATGTTTACCCCTGGCCTTACTACATATTCGAACCCAGCGCAGGGCAGACCTCGGTCTATCACCATATGAAATGCTTTATGGAATGCCTTATATCTGGCTAAAGGATGCAGTAGGTGACTATAACAATATTGACACCAAATTAAGACTGTACATACACAAACACTTGCAAAAAGGTTGACAGAAATAAGAGAACGAAGAGCCTTAGCCCAAACAGCACCATCAGATTTAAAGATACATAAAATAAACCCTGGAGATTGGGCCTTAATAAAGAGATGGAAAGAAACTTCTTCCCATTTTGAGAAGGTCCCTTCCAGGTACGGCTCACGACAGAGACCGCAGTGCATACAGCAGAACGAGGGTGGATACAGGTGACCAGAGTGAAAGGACCTGTTGCTCCATCACCCCTGAAGGAGTGGACTGTGTCATCAACGCCTGGGGACCTACGACTTAAACTCCAGAAAAGACCTTTATGAATTGATCACCTGAATGGAGAAAACATATGGAGGACTGGAATGAGTCACAGAAATTCTTGATTCTTCCATGCTGAAAGACAACTGTGATGGAGAACAGGGTATGCAGGTGGTCATGGGCAGTGTCTTAGTCAGCAACAGACTTCAGCAATGCATTTACTTAGTTCCCTTTCCCTAACAGTGTAGAAATGGGGACAGCATTGCTTTGTAACACCGAGCTGTCCATGTGCAGCCATGCTGTTATTGTGGGCACGTACACCTGGGACTGGGAGCAGCAGTCACTGCTTTAAGCTTACCATGGGAGCCTTTTCACATGTCAAAAAATAAGAAATTGGAGATGATTTTTTTTTACAACTGGGAAAAAAATAGTGATTGGTATGTATATGATATGAAACAAAAAAAGAAAACTATGCATCCTGCTTTAAGTCAGATTTATTCAAATTCCTGAAGTCTTTCTTGGGTCTCCTGAAGCAAGGTTTGTGCCTAAATTAGTCTAGTGTTTTGTTAGGTAAATGCAGTAGCCTTTCCCCATTAACCCTAGAGAGAAATAAGCTCTCTTGGGACATAGGCACTTGGAGATAGTTTATCTGCTCTACTTCAGCAGTCTGCCTTAAGGAAAGATTAATCCTATTTTTTGCCGCTAACTTGACTTAGAGTTACTTCACAGCGGACTTGGGACATCTGCCTGGATGAATTTGATACTGGCTGCTTTCCAGTTTATAGTAAATGTGCATGAGGGGTTGTTTCTGGTTGATGGGGGTTTTATGTGTTTGGTGTTTGGTTTAAGGTGATAGCTGGCTGAGAATGGTACATTCACACTACATGGTCTGATCAAAGGGAAATGCACACAGTGGCAAGAGAAGCCTCAACTACCACCACACCCTGTCCTCTGCCAAGGGAGGAGTTGGCCCCACAGCTGGGAAACGCAGCAGAAGAGCCAACCCAGATGCCCCAATCTTCACACAAGACATTGGAGCAGGTAACAACAGGGGTACAAATATCCAGCACGTTGCATTGAGCGCCCTGACCAAACTGTCCTGCGGACAGACATGGTCCCAGCCGGCATGTTGCACCACAGGACAGCGCTGGGAGGCACAGGCAGGGACTCTGGAGACAGCGTTGTCCCTGTGACTGGGGCCTTGGCAGGCCTGTTCCTTCTGATCTGCGCTGTGCTCGTAGCTCTGCTGTTGTCGAGGCAAAGGAAGGAGCCTTCTGCTGGGAATAGCACGGTGCCCACCAGCCTCTCCGGCAGCAGGGACCCTCTGAGCACACGGCACAGCAGCAGTGACAGTTCAGGAGTTTGGCCAGTTCCTTGGGTGCTTGTCTTTTAATATGTGACTTCACCAAAGAGCAGATTCAAATCTAGCTCTTGGATGACTCCTTTGCACCAAATAGCGGCTGGTTATTTGTAATGGGCAGCTACTTCTGACAGGGTTGGTGTACCAGGTCCATTTGAGAGTGACTTATTCATAGAATTCAAACTCCATGAATGGGAGTCGATGCTTTATCATTTTTTTTTAACCCCTTTTTTTAAAAAATGTTTTGAATGTGGAGATGTAAATGTGCCTTATATCCACTGTGGAAGGCTGGTGCTTGGAAGGATGTTGGTTTTGATCACATGTACAGAATTTAGCTTTCATATAACGGGTTTTGGTGGGGCAGTTGTTGTTGCCTTTTAAATAATTTTTGCTGGGGAAGGAGGAAGTTAGTAATGTTAAAATGGAAGCTAAGCAGTAGATGCTAATGTTCTTTTAAATAGGCAATACCAACAGTTTTGGCTCAAATTTATAACGAAGACCTCAGCCATACGGACAAGAGACACACAGGTAAGGCTGTGTTACCTGCAAGGAGAGCTGGTATGTCACCAGTGAGAATTAGACTGTACTGTAAAGCCACACTAGAAAAATGTCAGTGTTTTAAGTGCTTTCAAACGTTCTTAAGCAGACTCTAGCAGTTCAGAACAAAGGTAATGACCTCCTTCCCATATTGTACAATAATCATCTATTTGTTTGCTTGACTATAGCATCAAAATACAGGCAAATTCTTACAAAAGGACAGGTTTTGTTGCCAGATAGCACTGAGGAAACACCTGAATCGTCTAGAGCAAATATTTTGCTTCGTTTTTTATTTTTTGAAAGAAAATGGATTTTCTCTAAATTGGCAGGATACCACTTGAGAGACTAAGGTTTAGTTCCTTTCACTTTCTGCATGCAGCCACTTGAGAACTGTTAGCACAAATGAAGTGCTGCTTAACTATTTAATAAGTCTTCCCCTTCTGCTTCCTCTAAAGGTTATTATTCAGATTAGCTTAAAACAAATGATCATGGCTTGACTAGTTTTGGGTTTTTTTGTGAAAAGGGATGCTTTTAAAGCTGCAGCATTTTTGTTTAGGGTATGCTAAATGTAAGCATTTAAACTAATTTCTTCTAGGGCTGCCAGGACAATTAAACTTACGAAGTGATGTCAACCCTGCTGCACCTGCCACAGTGACTTTTTTAAGAGTGGTTATTCAGCCTGTTCTCAGCTGGTGTCTGCAAATCAGTCACTGGCAAATGGAAACTCAGGTCCTATACCAATAAAAACTGAACTGCTGCCCAGAAAATCTACATCTGGGAATTGTCAGCAAAGCTGATTTTTCATTATTTCCCTCTGTTTATACAACACTGCTGCCTTTAGATTTGTGTTCTTAAGCAGGCCAAAACTGAGCAAAGATTGCGAGCATTTGCTGTGATTTGGTGTGTTTGTTTTTTTAGTAAATTCTAAATTATGCCACATGAGATGGCATCTCAGTCAGAATGTGCAGATACAGCACCAAAAAGGGACAGTGCAGGGAACACTCGTGCATGGCACTGCTGGACTGGCTCAGGGCAGAGCCAGGGTTGCTAATTACAGCTGTGCACAGCTGGAGTCAGCACCAGTTCCTTTCACATCACACCAGTGCTGTCTCTGCATCTACCCCATCTACCCCATCTGAGAGAAGCAGGTTGTGTTTCATGTATTGTCATGTTTTCTGTTCTGACTACTTGTTTGCCAATCCCCCCATTCTGCCATGCTTAGGCCAGTCTAATGCAGTACAGACCTCAGCAGGACTGACTTTTCTCCTGGAACAGATTTTAAGCAGAAAGTGTTACAATTCTGTTCCAATCTGTATGTGTGATGATCATTACTTGAACTTACTTTTATGCACAAATATCCTCCGTTCTCTGAAATTTGTGGAAAGGCTAATTATTTGCCTCAGGAGTAAAGCTAAGGTCAGAGCCACAAAAGTTCCAGAAATGGAGATTGTCCATCATGATCAACAGAACTATTTAGTGGTGTTTTCTTATTAGAAGCCACCACCAGTCAGTGTTCACAGCACCCTAAAAGGAAACAAACTGGGGGAATGACTAAATAAATACGTATTCAAGTGGAAACATAAATGAAAAAAAAAAAGTCACATAAAGCCTTATTAATAAATGAAGACAATTTATTACTTCAAGTGTTAATGGTAAAAAAAATTCAGCACAGCTGTTGCATTTAGAAAAGTGAAACTACAATTAAGAAGTACTATGTTCTAGTTCAATAAACAGATGAACCCAATGTTCTTTAAAATAGTTAAGCATTATACAGTACATCTTATGAAGACCCGTAAATTAAAGAACTACTTCTTAAATTTAGAGATTAAAAAAATTCTGCATTCACAGCTTTAGCTTCTTTTTTCTTCCACGACCGTCAGGAGTACCATCCATTTTGCGCTTCTGTGCCTGCAAGGTATGGTTTTTTAATAAGTTACTGTGATGCAAAAGGGTTGTAAGCAAGTAATGTGTTTCAAAACAAAGCAGATGATTTACACCCTGTCAGCTTTCAAATGTGATAAAACTGCAAACATAATATGGTTTGCATATCTTTGCTGTTATTTTGTATTCCCTCAATTCTGTAAGAGTATGGTTTCATAGAGGTAAAAAGTGTATAGAAGCAAATAAGGATGTTTTAAAGCTTCCTATTTATGAAAAGGTATTTCTAAATACCCATTTAAATGTTCTGTGAACAAGTCTAAGAAACTTAATAATCCACCATTATTAACTTTACTGATTTCTGCACATCTGCCAAGCAATTTGTTCACCTAAGTTGTTTATACAACAGCTCTAGGCAACAATACACTGAACAGCAAATCCATGTAAGAAAATGGGTAAAGCTGGTGTTTCCTTTACAAAATAGTCCTGCATATTAGCAATACTTTGAATTTAGTCAGCAGAGAGTTGTCAAGCATATATGCTGTTTTCCCAAAACTATCTCCAGAAGCCCATTTGTATACAGATTTGTAGATGATTTAACAGATTATATAAATCAAAAGGCCAGATACACCTCTGGTGTATTTACCAGGGTAAACCTACACAGTGCACCAACACAATGATCCAAAACATAACCAGTTTATTGGCTCCAAAGCATGCGAGCTACAATTTAGAACCTAAACTTACTTTCCTTGATTTGACATCCGCAACTGTACTAGCTGAACACCAGCATGAACTTAAAGCAGCTTTTAACACTGCCTTCTAAATTTTTGTTGTTGCTTTTAAATAACTTTAGGTATCACTTGTCCTAGACAGTCAGAAAAGCACTGTCTTCACGTGAGCTTTTCCACAGAAGTGCCTTTTAAATCTTACCGAAGATGGTTTTGGTCCACGTTTCTTCTTTTCTGCCTTTTCCTTTTCTTCCAGTTCCATGTTTTCTCTTTCAATGAGAGTGATTAAAGTATTGCATCTCCTTTGCAACTCCTACATTACAAAATATATACAATCAGTACCTCAGGCAGCCACTCAATGTAAAAATTGTATTAGAATATTAGAAATGCCGGTGAGGAGGTAAGTGTTTTGCTGTATCTTGTCGGAATAACAAAGGAATTAAATGGTTTTGGATACTTACTGGCTGGCTTCAGGAGTGGATTTGATCACAGGTGTTTGCTTTTTAAGACACTTTTGTATTTAACTCAAATTCATGCTGATTTTGGAACACAGCACCTTAGAACTTTGAATTTCTCCTCCCGTAAGACTTTTTGGTTTATCTGCATTTGCCACCCGCGACAGTTGTTGCCAAGTTAGAAAAAGGTAACGTCTTGTTGGCATGCACATACCTCAGTATTTCAGAAGCTACTTGATTAGCCTGGGGTACAACCATTTTGTCATAGGCATTCATGAACAAAAAAGATTAATGTATATATACCATTGCAGTTCTGGACTTGAGAAACCAGTCAAATCTGAATTGCGGCGAGTTTCGGATACATTGTCTTAATTCATCATAGACATTTTCCTTATCAAATCCTAGTTTGTGAAGCATACAGATCAGAAAGCGATCTTCCTCTTCAGTGTAATTCTTCCCTTTATTAGTACCATATGATATTCTTAGTTGGTGGAAAGGGGCTTTATATCTCCCAATCTGAACAAAACAAATAAGACCATATAAAGCTAAGAAATAGGTCAGAATTAGCATGGAAGTCTTTTGTATGAAAGCAACACATGACATGAAGACAGCACTACAGATCATAAAAGATTCAGTTTTCTAAGTCACCACAAGTAAAGGCCTGTAGGTTCTGGACAGTCAAAGGTATCTAAACTGGCAAATTCTGGTTTAGACAACAGACAGCTTTGTGATCTTCCACTTAATGGCAGACTCCAGACCTATCACTACATTTGAACACAGTCAAGATCTGTTAGTACTGAGATGGCAAGGATCCTTTCTGACACAAATCCTCGAGAACTGTCAGACTAAAAGTAAAAAGGTACATGAGACTGTAGCACACGGTTCAGCTCCATCCTGGTTAACTGAATCCGACACTTGTTCTTCCCTAGAAGAGAATTAATTCAAACCTGAAGTGGAGAGAAGATTCTGATGAACTGTCTTAATTTACTACAAATCTGTTCACCACCAAACCCTGGCTGGTGAAACACAGACCAGAATGGAAACATCCTCTGTTTGGTAAGTCTTCCCTTTTAACTGCTCTGAACATGTGTGTATATATACATATATACCTTGCATTTTCAGTTACATGGGTCCAAAAAAAAATCCTACTTCTTCCAAAAGCATGTAGTCACCAGGAGCTTGTTATACAGCACTACAAACTGTGTCCTATGATACAGATTACTGTTACAAACAACAGGTTAGGTCATATCTAAAGTTGTCATCACATCTGTCTGCCAGGACAGCACTGCTGTGGGATGGAAAAGCTATAGGAAACAAGTGCTGAGGATTATGCACAGGAGGCAAATGTCATGCCCAGCATGTTGTCTTCATGCATCAGTAGCAGTGGCCAGATACGGAGTCCTGTTTTTCTCCTCACTGGTACCAGAAAATAAAGCAAGCAAGAAACAAGCAAACTCACCTTTGTGTCGAGTGCCTTTTTTATGCTGATTCGTCTCTGAATTCTGGCTTCTCCTCTTTCAATCTGAGCCATGATCTTCTCTATGTCTTGGAGTTCGTTGCATCTTTCCCAGAACACAGCTAAGAAAAGAACAATTCATTAGTTTCTTATCATGCATATTAAAAGTTAAGAAGTTTTACCTTAAAAAAAAGATGTTAGCTGCTACTTTCTTTTACCAGAGCTCACCGTTGTATAGCAACAGGCCCTTCCCTGATAAGGAACCTCTGCTTCCTGCTATCATGTGTTGCAGTATAACAAATGCTATTTTCAAGGGTTAGATATAGGAGTCCTCAGTTTAAAAGAGGTGTGATACAGGCCAGAAAAGTTCTTGTGAGCCAATCTCCTAATCAAGAGAAAAAGAGCTTCTTCAAATGGAAACTGATGCAGCAACAGAGTTGTAGAGAGGGAAGAGGGAGGGCAACTGAGTGGCCAAAGACAAGCAAGTACCTAAAAGACAATTAGGTGTTTAAATAAACAAGGACTCATGTTACAACACCCAATGGCCATTCATAAGATGTTTACTGTATCCCACTCCTGAGGAGGAGGTAAAGGTTAACTACTAGTTAGCGAATACACGGCAAAGTGGAATCTCTTCAGCTAAGCACTGTTCCTCAGCATTTCCTTTTCAAAAACTATCCTACATCTAACTGGGTAGTGCTGTCTTCAGTTCTTGTTAAAGTGAAGTGGATCAGCAATAGTTTACATGTGCAGTTTAGTACAGCCTTAATTATGCAGGGGCTAGAGATGGTAAAATCCAGACTAGCAGATCTGAAATCCATCAGTACGATTCTACCCTGAAAAATCTTAAAAGAGTGGTGAAAGAAATTCCCAGAAATAAGATGTTAACATGTTCATGAGCAGTTCAAAGGAGGCAAGCAGTGTTAGATATGGACTCACAGAGCTGACTACAGAACTGAGTTACCTGAATACTCAATGACTTCCTCTGGGGTTTTTCCTTCTACTTCTCGTGCTATATTTTCAATGTCATCACGGCCCCACTTCTCATTGGCTTTGATGAACTGGTTGAAATCTCTCTTGTTCCAGTTAGTGAAGCCCTGTATAGCAATCAAGGAAACATTGCACAGAGGTTCAGGATTTGTCTCTCTCCAAATTCGCTTTAATAAGGTTTCTTTAAACCAACTGTAACACCTCCATCATTCCAACAGTGTTAAAGCTGTTCTTTCTCTGCAGTTTAATTTAGCAGAAAAACTGTTTTTATACTGCAGGGGATCACTTTCTTAGAGGAAAATTTGTTTAAGTGAAGCAAGTGGTGACTGTAATGGTTTTGTTTTATCAAAAAGGCCCACCAAGTTGCCTCACAGACACCATCAGCCATTCTACCTGGTCACTCTCCCTCAGAAGGTCCAAAGCTGTCTTGTGATGATGATACTCAGTAGGGACAGAAGTAGCACTGCTGAAGTTATCAGCTGCTAAAATAGGCTTATTTCATATTACCAATAACTTTGACAAATCGTTGGAAGACAGAAGTTCTGTCAGCCTTGTTGTGAGTTAGCCACATCTTACTGCACTGTACTGACTCCTGACCTCTGTGAGTCTGCTGGTTCTGTGAGTCTGCTGGCAATAGTGACTGTTCCAGCACATTACTACTCAAGCAAGAGATCCTGTTCTGTAACTCTGATCCCCTGCCAAAACACAGTGTGAAAATACAACACCCAAATAAGGCATATCAGGCATTAACCTGTTTTAGATTACTTAAATGTACGTGCTTCCTAATTATATACCTATTCAGCTCATACCCTCTTTTAGAGAGGGGCACTACCCACTACCAGATGTAGTTCAGGAAAACTGACCATTCATTCATCTTCTGGGATTCACTTCTATGTGGGAATGAAACTGTGGCAGAAGATTTGCATTAAATAATGTGGAACATAGTACATCCAGCTCTGCAGTGAGTCTGCAAGAACCCACAGCCAAGGAAAGATGTCAGTCTACAGTCAATGCCAGCTTGGGAAGCCAGACTCTGAAGAAGGTGCACCTGGATTCTCCTGAACCAAAGGTATCCAGGCCCACAACAAACCTAATGCTAAAACTCTTCTCAGTCAGAGCCAATATTTGCAGCTGTATTAACTGCAGCACGTGTGAATCAGTGACCAAGAAATGTTGCCGTAACACTGTAAAACACAAAACAAGCTTCAGCTGACTTCCATCTCACTGAAGACCCAACCATACCTGGGTTAGAAGTTTCTCTTTTTCTTCAAGTTCTTCATCGTTAAGAGGTTCAGCCTCATCAATCTTAAGCTGCTCCTCCTTTTGTGCTTGGGCTGAATTTGGGAGATCAGGATTACGAGGTACCTGAAAGGTTTTGCATCTTGTAAAATTTGCTTGATTTTTCGCAGATAATTGACAATTGTCACTTTTCTGTTAATGTAAACTAATAATTTCTTCAGCTTAACATTACTTTATTTCATTTAAATTGATGTGGAAGGCAGGACAGGTACATATTCTATTGTTGCAGTAAACTCTTCCAATGTGTGAATTCAGAGAATCACATAAAATGGTCTGGGTTGGAAGGGACTGGACCTTAAAGGTCATCTCATTCCAATGCCCTGCCAGGGGAAGCGACACCTTCCACTTAGACCAGGTTGCTCAGAGCCGCATCCAACATGGCCTTGAACACTTCCAAGGATGGGGCATCCACAGCTTCTTTGGGCAACCTGTGCCAGTGTCTCAACCACTGTCACAGTGAACAACTTGTTTCCAAGATCCAATCTAACCCTACCCTCCTTCAATTTAAAGCCATTCCCCCCTTGTCCTGTCACTACACGCCCTTGTAGGAAGTCCCTCTCCAGCTTTCCCGTAGGCCATCTTTAGGTACTAAAAGGCTGCAATCAGATGTCCCTGGAGCCTCCTCTTCTCCAGGCTGACCAGCCCCAACTCTCTCAGCCTTTCCTGCTAAGAGAGGTGCTCCATCCCTCTAATCAAGGAAACTCTTGCATTACCTTGTAACCAATTGTTTTCCTGTAGTAGAGAATCTCTTTTTCCAACAGTTCAAACAGGCGAGGAGGAAAGAACTGGAAGTCCTGTACATTTGGCTGTTTGGGAGGCCGTGGTGCCTGAAATACAAAGTTTGACTCCCTTTCACATCCAGAACCTGCTTGCTTGTAAGAACTGATTTCAGTTTATGAGCACAAAAAAAAAAAAAAGCTTTATTGTTACAAAAAATGCACTGCCTTATATTAAAAAAGGCCATGCAAGAGACAACTACAACAAGGAAGAATTCTGAAACACCTTTGAGAGAAAGGGAGGAGGGGTCTTTGGGAGGAGGAGGTGGCTGGGGAAAGTCACACATGCATCCCCTTGAACAAAGTTCAGGCGTTTGAAGCAGCATTAAGGAAATCTTTCACAGGTAAGGAAAATTCACAGCTGCTTAAGTAAAAACATGAAAAATGTTGATCTTACTCTCCTAACATCCTACAAGTTTCATCCTGCTCTTTTTTTTTTTCACAGAAGTTTGTCTCAAGTCCTTCGGATTTTTTCTAAATTTAAATTGTCTCCACAATTTACAAAAGTGAATAGTGCAGTTTTTATGAAAAAAGATCAATGTGTTGCTTTACAGCTGGAACCATTTACCAGGCATATTTCAACAATTTACTTTTTTTAATTAGTCAACTCACCTTGGGTGCTTTTGGTTCACTGACTCGAAGAGCCTCTCTGAAATAAGCATCCACAGCATAATTGGCTTTTCTTTCTCGTTTAGGCGGTTCAATCCACTCTGTAAATGCCAACTGTAAAAAACAAAACCCAAAAAAACCCAACTAAGTCTTGCAAATTATTCAGACCAGCTACAAGTTCTATATAAAATTAGATCTACATCTACTTCATTGTGTTAGAAATGTTTTTATTTAAACTATTATCATAGATGACACCGTATTTTAGCCAACACCTCTTAAACAAGTATGATTAAAACATGCAATTTAGTGCATTCCTCCGAAAGAAACTTAAAACATTACCTTCTGTTTTTCTCTGTAGTCTTCCCCTTCAAAATTATACACGCTAGATTCAGTATCCATAGTAAAATTCCTAAGGGAGCTTTCGCCCATCTTTGAAAGTTTTTCGTTCATTTCCGCAGTCTTGGACGGGGGACACAGAAAAGAACAGTAGCCATTTGGATGGTACTTCATTATTTAACATCTCATTCCCAGACAGAACGGGAGGCATTTTGGAAGGCACGTCATTATTAAACACCTCATTCCCAGAAAGGAGCCACTCTGAAAGGTACTTCCTTTTAAAACATCCCATTGCCAGAAAGAAGAGCAGCCATTCTGGAAGGCACTTGATTACAAAACATCTTATTGACAACATCAGAGAAAACAAACATGACTGACCAGCATGAAAACCCTCCACAGCAAAAACCCCTTTTCTCTCCAGCTTAGAACCAAGTGATCATCCAGGGATACACTGTCTTGCCACCACATTTAAATCTACAGGTGGCCTTCCCCTTTTCAAACTTTCTCACCTTCTTTGCACCTCTTTCCAAAATGTGATCAATGTCTTCATCTGTAATCTCACTGTCCTTTGAGGCAAACACGTGTGTCGCTCCATGTCTAATCATTTGCAGCATTTCATCCTTTCCAAGTTTATTCAGGTTTTGATCTACCAATCTTCCTAAAGATAAAAACACTCAAGGATAGCAACTAACTATAAAGTTCATTATGGAAGGAGCAACATATGATTTTTCCCCCCCTTACATTTCTACATTCAAGCTATATACTTTTCTTTCACTAAAGGAAATTCCAAATAAAGAAATTTAAAAAAAAATTTAAAAAAATTCTTTAATAAAAAAATTTAAAATCAAGAGTAAGTAAAATCTAGCCAGGTTTCAAAGATAATTGCTATATTACGCTTTAACTGTGTTCAGCATACATAGTTTTGGATACTAGGTCTTTCGACATGACAAGAGGAAACAGCCTCAAGCTGCACCAGGGG